TTGAGCATTTTCCCAGTTTGTGTTTCGCCCATATCCTTGAAAGTCTGGAAGTAGTGTAACGATTGGGATTTGCGAGCCATAGGGTAGATCATAGTGCGACGACTGTAGTCATCAATGAAACTGATAAAGTATTGGATACCTCCCACTGCTGTGGTGGCCATCGGGCCACACACATCAGTGTGTACAAGTTCCATGAGCTCTGTAGCTCGAGATGCTCCAGTCTTGGGGAAAGGTTGGCGAGTAGATTTTCCGAGCTGACAGCCCTGGCAAAATGGAAGAACGGCTCTTGGGTCCAGGTCTAGACCTTCAACCATCTGCTCGCGTGCGAGCTGCTTGATTCTATCAGCACTAGGATGCCCCAGGCGTGCGTGCCAAAGCTCCAGTGAGTGACTGGTCGTTGTCTTTTGTACGTGTAGGCCCAGACTCCGTCCAGCAAGATCTGGCAGCATGGTAAGGCGGTAGAGATCACGCCGTCCAGGCCGGGACGCTGTGAGGATGGCTCCTGTGGTCGAGATCAGCTGGAATTGGCGAGGTGTAATGGCGAACTGATACCCATCCTCAGCAAATTGTCCCACAGAGAACAAATTAGCACATAAACCAGGAATATAAAGAACCTCGTGGATCTTTACGACTATTAACATAGGCTTCAAAGTACTTATCACTGTTGAACATATGGTCTGTAGCAGCAGAATCCAGGTAGATGCACTCTGCAGACAGTGCTGCCACAGCCATAGCTCGTGACAAGATGAAGGCGTGTACCACCTTTTTCTTTGCATTGTTCCTTACAGGCTTGAGAGATGGATTTTTCACCCAGCATTGAGCTTCGTCATGGCCTTTCTTGTTGCAATGAGAACACTTGGGCTTCTTGGATGAAGAGGCTCCTTGTTTCCCTTTGTTCACTGGTTCTTTCCTGAGAGAAGAGTAGAATGCAACGGCCTCTGATCCTGTTGTTGCTCTTCGTCTCAGATCATCGTCCTGGAGGCTACTGATCACGCCATTCAGGGTTAGAGGAGTTCCAGTGGTAGTGAGGCTACGTATGAGAGGATCAAAGGATGGAGGAAGTGTGACGAGCACCAGCTCTGCTTCTTCTTCATCCTCTATGGTTGCTCCCACATCCTTAAGATCATCTAAGATGGTTCTCACAGCAGCAAGATGATCCTTGAGGTCGTCCCCTTCAGCCATCACCAGTGCATGAAGCTGCTTCCGTAAAAAAATGCGATGGGATGTTGAAGGGATCTGGTAAGTCTGCTTCATGGCCTCCCACGCTTCCTTTGCACTCTTGCACCGTCCAATGCAATGGAATTCTCGCCCCTCCAGCGCTGCATGGAATTTGCCCAAAGCTCTCCGGTCCTTCTTGCGATACTTCGCAGTTTCATCCACTGTAGCTGTATCTGGAAGTGTCTCAGTTCCTGTGGTGATGTCCCAGAGGCCTCGTTCATCCATATAGGATTCGAATTTTGTCTTCCAGAAGCGCCAGTTCCTCCCATCAAATTTTGGTGGATTTGCGTCCACTGAAACGATATCCGCTGTAGGCACAGTCGGATTTGTGATGGGAGGGGAAATAGGTGGTGGATTTGGAGGCGGATTTGTAGGAACAGTGGCTGCCATGGGTGCCGACACCCAATCCCACCACTCGTTCAAGTCTAGGTCCAGGTTCTTAGTTGGAGCGTTTGGATTAGGGCACGCCTCTGTCTACGTAGACGGAGGCTCCGATTCACCCTAGCAAGTGTCGCCCTGATCCTACGGTTTCGAATTCTTCTCGCTCTCCCAGGCATTGCTCCGATACCATCTAACGAAAGGTGAAACCGTGTGATGGTGCTCAAGATCCGTCATAGCATATATGGAATGGAAAATGTACATATATGTGACATGGTGAACCGGTGAAGACTCGTGTCTCTCTACGTGGACTTGCCACGTGGCACAGGGCCACTCTCAACAAGATCATGCATATTGGAGCCTTTTCTACCCCAAGTCCCCATAACCTTCATAAACAGTTATCTATCTATCTATCTGGCACTGGGCTTCTGTTTTGTGAGCCACCCACAAATCGTTGGCCTTGGCTTGTGATATTTGAGATTGCTCAATGTTAAAAACAATTTTAAAAAGATGACTGAAGCTCTAGACGTTGGGCCTCTTTCCATATATTATATAGTTAGCTAAATCCCTTAGTTTAACGTATTATATTTTTGAAAAAAGTTCTATTTTATGCAACTTTTAGACATTGCTTTTATGGTTTATAAATCCTTTACTGTTAGCTTTAAACCTCTTCCTATATGCTTCGATTCTGTAGCTGCAAAAGCCTGTAGGCCCTGCTCGCAGCGTAATTTCCCAGCTTGAGCTCCTGTTGTAGCTTGCAAGCACCAGCCAAAGTGCTCCATGCAACATCGTTGGGAAAGAATGGCATGTTGTTGATCAGTTCATCGGCCTGACTGAGCTCCCCCGACCTCGCAAGTATGTCCACCATGCAAGCATAATGCTCCGCCGCGGGAGTCAATCCAAACTGCGACACCATGCTTGTGAAGCACCACCAGCTGATCTTTACAAGCCCCGCATGGCTGCACGCGATGATTACGCCCAGAAATGATACCTGGTTCGCCTTGAATCCTTGCACGACCATATCCAGCAGCAACTCCACACACTCGTGGACGCATCCAATGCGCGCAAACGCTGCAATGAGCGAGTTCCACGACAGCAAATCTCTGCCGGGCATCCTCTCGAACACCCGCTTGGAGGAGCTCGGCTGGCCGTTCAATGCGTACATGGCCAGCACGGAGTTCCACGACGCCACCTGAGAGTGCGGCATTTGCGTGAGGATCCTCATGGCGTCTTCGACGTAGCCGCTCTGGCCAAAGACCACAATAATCGAGTTCCACGACACGGAGCTTCGCGCGGGCATCGTGTCGAATATCAACTTCGCCTCCTCGACCCGGCACTGCTGACCATATATTCGAATGAGCACCGTCCATGAGACGACGTCCTTCTCGGGCATGGCATCAAAGATCCTCTTGGCCTGGCGGAGATGCCCGTTTTGGGCGTAAGCAGCAATCAAGGTGTTCCATGACACGGCATTCCACTCGGGCATCCTGTCGAAAGTCCGCTGTGCTTGCTGCAAGTAGCCGGACTGCCCGTATGCGTCCACCATGGCTGTCCAGGAAATAATGTTCCTCTCGGGCATCCCCGCAAAGAGCCTCTTGGCCGCCTCCAGCTCGCCATTCAAGACGTAAGCCTGAAAGAGAGCGTTCCACGACGCGGTGTTGTGCTCCGGCATCCGGTGGAACAAGCGCTCGGCCTGGCGGAGGTCCGAGTTCTCGCCATACCCCGAGATCATGGAGTTCCACGAGACCAAGCTCAAGAAAGGCATCTTGACAAACAGCCCCACAGCTTCATTTAAATGCCCGTTTTGGGCAAATGCTGCAACCATAGCGGACCATGCCACAAGATTTCTCTCCGGCATTTCATCGAAAACCATCTTTGCTTCTATCAAATAGTTGCTTTGTGCAAAAGCTACAAGCATGCTCGTCCACGACACGACGTTTCTCTCGGGCATGGCTTGGAAGAGTTTTCTTGCTTCCTCGACATGCCCGTTCCGGGCATATGCTTGGATCATGATGCTCCAGCTGAAAACGTTGGGGTCCCGGATGCTGGCAAAGATCCTCTGGGCCTCCTCGACGCTTCCGCAGTCGCCATACATCTGGACGAGGATATTGGCCACGAATCTATCGTCCCGGAACTCGCTGTCCAGAATGCGCGAGTGGAGAAGCCTTGCCTGCGTTAGATCACCCACCTCGCGCACCAGACGCTCGATCAAATCGCGACGCTCCTGCCGCCGCTGCTGGAGTTGGGTTCCCAGTCGCTCTCGCGGCTCCGATCCGTGTCGACACAGCGGATCGGCGCAAAGATTCATTCCATACAAGTTTTTCTTCTTTTGTGATTTGGCAAAACTACCAGTGTCTGCAAGTTTTCAAGAGGACCACTTCATTCTCTTTCGAATATTACAACAAGCAATGATCTTAGGTGATTCTCTACTTGATTATTGGAAAACCAAAGCATCATCCTTCTCTCTTTTTCTTTCTCTCTTTTCTCTTTCATGCCAATTTGAAGAGAAGAAACCATTTTCACGAAGGAAAATGGGGATCATGCATTGCGGCTAGATAAACCCAAAGGATCAAATCATTGTCAACGGGAGTGAGCTAAAGAAAGAACTCATCCACTTTGCGTGGCAAACTTATTTGCTTTCTTTTTTTTCGTGCTCCCGTTTCTCGAAACAGTACGGACATTCGAATGGAAGAATCAAAAGTTGACTCTTGTGAGTGAGGGCGCTTAACAATAATTTGATTGCGGTTTGCTTAATTCCGGGACTTACATTTTAAATCCTCGCAAAAGACACACATCCCATCTCATTTGTACACGGTACAACAAAAACACACACCCAAACACACACTCTCTCTCGTAGTTCCCTTTACATTCTTTTAGCGCTTTAGTTCTCTTCTCTGGGGTGATCTTTGCCTTGCGGCTTGCCCTTCCCAAAATCGCAAGCTTGCGCGCCCACTTCGATGATCCAGCAGTATGCAAGCGCTGGCTCTAGAAGCTCGCCACCAGCAGCAGCGCGCTTTGCCGGGGATGATCCTCTTCTTCCTAGTGATCATGCGGCTTCCTTTGGATGAGATCCATGTCACAGCTTCCTCGATCACGATCCCACCACCACTTGCTCCCCACAGATCCCAAGATATGAGCAGGAAGAACACCACCACCGCCACCACTGCCGTGCTACAATCGAGTTCGAGGGGCGACAAAGTTTCCTCTTCTGTCCAAAAGTCTCGGTTTTGATCCACTCGTCGATCCATCCATGGCTTTGTGTAGTGATCAGTCACCTCCACTGAGTGATACTTCGATTTGATATCACTTACACATCTTGGGAGTGATCTTGATCCTAGGAGAGGAAAGGAAGTAAACAAGCGAGAAGGGGGAACGGTCGACTATCAAATCACTCCCCCGGAATGATGCAGCAGCTCGATCAAAAGGACAAAGCCATGGCCCGCGAGGAACACTGTGCCAAGAGCCACTCGCAAGCAAACAGCAGCTCCAGCAACAAGGAGGAGGAACAGGCACACAAGAGCATGAGCGTCAGCTCGCCCGAGAGCTCCTCAGCGGGGACGAATTCAGGCAAGAGCTGCGACAGCAGTAGCCGCAAGAACAGCAGCAGCAGCGCCGCCACCGCGGGCGGCGTCCGGCAGTACGTGCGATCCAAAATGCCGCGCCTCCGATGGACGCCGGACCTCCACCACTGCTTCGTCAATGCCGTGGAGCGGCTGGGCGGCCAGGACCGTGAGTATCTTGTTCGCGCTTGTTTGATCTTCTCATGGATCATCAAACGGGCTTTTATATCATAGTACCATCTTCTTTCCTTTCAAGATCTTGATCACTTTTGCTTCGTTTGTGTTGCTCAGGAGCCACTCCCAAGCTGGTTCTACAGCTCATGGATGTCAAAGGATTGACAATTGCGCATGTCAAGAGCCATTTGCAGGTTCCACTTCTTTTTCTGCATTCGTTTATTTTGGGAAAAACCGCAATTCGGTTTCAACTTCGCAGATGTATCGGAGCATGAAGAATGATGAGAATCACGGCCAAGGTCAGTGCAAAATTTATTTTGTCAGTCAGACTCATTCCCCGATCCCAAGTAAAAAGCTTTGTGGTTTTCGCTGGTTTTTTCGTTTTTTTTTTTCTGTAGCGAGTTCCGAGGCAGGCCAGGATCATCTGGCGTTGATTGACGATCGGAGCTCCCTCGTCGGCACCGCCTTTGCATCTTCTCTACAGCAACACCTTGATCTTGGACACCATCACCCACACGAAAGCTTTGCAGCCTTCCAGCAACAGGAACAGCAGCAGCAGCACTTCTTCTGCCGTCCTGTGCTTCAGCCACTCGCGAGGTATTTCAATCTCACTGGGATACCACCCAAGTCTGACGAGTGATTTCCTGCTTTGCTCATCCGGGGAACCGTGCCTCTCGATCCAATCCTGAAGGCACCACCACCACCAACACCAGCAGGAGCATGGGTTTATGGTGGAGAGCTCGAGCTCGTCGGGCCTGCGAAGCCACAGGAGCCTGCCAAACGATCTCGTCCACCTCAACGACTACTGGCTGAATTTGCAGACGCACAAGCAGATCAGCCCCGGGAGCAGCAGCAGCAATTACAGCAGCCGATCCGAGTGGACTCAGAATCATCTCATGCAGATCGATCACCACCACCACCACCACCACCACCGAGCTGCGCAGCAGGCAGCGATTAACAACAACAACAACAACGTAATTGACAACAACATCAACAACAGGCATCGAGTTTTCGAGGAGCTGAGGAAGCAGAGACTTGTTCTCGACTCCTCCTCGCACAGCACCCACGCAACGATGCAACTCCTGGTCAGTACCAGTCCTCTCTCTCTCTCTCTCTCTCTCTCTCTCACACACACACACACACACACACACACATCGGTGTGATCGGTTCTCATCGTTTCTCTTTTTGGAAACAGGACCGGATGAACAATCGAAGATCAAGCCCCGACTCCACTGACGATGACGACGATGATGATGGCAGTAACTTATCACTGTCACTAACAAGTTCCCCCGCTGGCATGAAGAACAAGGCAAAGCGGCGAAACGGGAAATACATTCGCAGGGGCAGCAGCAGCACTAGTAGCGGGCAGCCGGATCAAAATCGCGGGGAGCCGGTCATAAGATTGGATCTCACGCTCTCCATCGCCCACAAATCACCGTGATCAATCAATCAATCAACAGCAAACTCAACTAAAGTTGGAAGCTAACTCGAACTGAATATTTTGCTAATCTACTATTCATGAACCTAGTCACCTAGGGATTTTTGGTTCCTTTTTCTTTCGAGCGTGAGAGATGCCAGACACAATTCTCCTGCGCGTGGATTCCAAGGGCCTGTTCGTCGCTGATCCATTCAAAACTTCCCGAGTGAAACTTACGAACTCTGCGCCACGGCCGAGCAATAGCTTTCTTTGATTTGACAAAGCAAAGCTCTGGATCCACAGCAAGGAACTGCTTGAAAAGTCTGTTTTGTTTAAATGGAAGCGAACCATTGAAATGGAGATCGTAGCTCCCCCATGGCTGTCGTCACCACCTTCGTACTGCAACACTCCACAGTTGTTGTACAGTTGGCTCCTCTTCTCTGTTAGAGCTTACGTTACGAACACTCGAGCAGTCGGTCAAACTACACACAAAGAAAAATAGAAAGAAAATGAGAAACCACGGAATGTAAAGCAACTAGAAATGGAAGGATTAAGAAACTCTAGCGTGATTTTAATCGGCTCTGGCTGGACTGCACATATAACTTCACCATTGTTTATATGCGGCTGCAGGAGCGAGCAGACGCGAAGCGTTACCTAAGCCTCCTCCGGTGATTATCTCTAAAAAGTTCTCATATCACAGGAGATTAATCGAAGAAAAAGAGGGAGACGATTGTCTATCATGCCATCATTTGCATGCTGCAGCTCCGGACATGGTCCTCAAGAGCAAACAAACAAAGTATTTCTGCTGGCTAGCTGTACTTGGCTTGTGGACTTTTCATCCATGCGAGAAAAGAAAGAGAAAAAGAAGAAGAATCCTGCCGTGAACTCTCTTCATTCCCGAGAATGTCACGGAGATGATTGATCGATCCATGCAACACTGCAGGGATTGATCGATCCATCTATCCGACTCCAACACAAGAGTGTGGGTCGTCAGGGAGAGTCAAGCAAGGCACTCGAGAGATCACCATCCATCAATCTAATCTCTCTAAATCCAAAGTTAAGAAGCTCAAGCTTCCTAGCCGAACGAGAGGGGGCTTTAATGCTCTCTCGGACGCTTCTTTCCTGCCAAAAGATTTGTTTACGAACCCGGAGAGAAAAAAAAACGAGAGAACTTACGTTTTGGATGATAGCTAGTCAATATCCTTCACACTGTTGCAGAGCCTCACGTTTGTTTCCTGGTCAATGTCCACAGAGAACTCTAAACAAAAAATAAAAGAGAAAAACAAAAAACGAAATAAAAAATTCCTACCAGAAAATAGCATAGCCGACTGTGCACCTCTAGCTTCTACCAAGAACCAACCACGAATAAACACTAAAATCAGAGCAAATGCAAGCTAGCTACAATCTATAGGAATAGAGAGAACACTATACTACACCAGGCAGTCAGCAGATTTCACCTTCCTGCAAGGAAGGAAGGATGGAATCATTCATGAAGAACTTGAATGCCAACATTTATTCTGTGCTGTGCACTTTGTCGTCACACAAGGTAGAGGACTTCCTTACACACAAGACTCACATACACACACACCCACACAGGAGAACTCATCAAAAAGAGTTTGACAAGAAACCAGGAAGAAAAGATAAAGCAAAATCATGTCACATACCTTGGAACAACATAGATGTTCGGTTCGAGACATTAATGTCGCTCCAAAGCAGCCTCGATCGAGTGTCACCCTCGACTGCAAAACGACATTCTCCATCTTAGCACATTTGCGGACGATGTAATAAAAACCATGAGCAAAAACAAACGGGCACACTCCAAACAGAGCAGTGCGCAAAGCAAGCAACAACGAACGCAAAACATACCTCCTTCACCAAACTTTTCCCCTCTTTGCTCCCCAGTGCACGTCTCTGTCCCAGAAGCAGGCGATGCTTCCACTTCACATCCATTCGAATCCGATCGCTTCAGCCTTTTATCTTTAAAAACCAAAAGGAGGAATTAATATAAAGCGAAAGAGAAAAGAGAAAAAAAAAGTGGTAAAAGAAACTTCCTGGACGTGCGTCTAGGTTGGTGTCATTAAAATCTCTCCTCGTTGATTGCCTAGACGTGCTGCAGTAGCAGCTGCAAAATTCTGGCCCTGCTTCTATACTTCTCCCCTGATGCACAGAAGCGATACAGAACGACACTAGTTTTTTCCTCCCGGCTCGACTCGACTCGAGAGTCATGTCTTAGAAAACAAACAGGGGTGCGTTACGAACCAGATATCCATAGCCGGCCCCGGCTGCCCGTTAGAACCTTAAATATGCCATGCTTGACATTCTATGTCTGCTGCATTTGCTGCTGCGCATCAGGAAAACGATGGTCATACTCCACAGAGTCCACCCGAAACAAACAAAGCAAGAAACATATTAAATGACTGGAGGGGTGTGTGTACTCGGCACATACCTCTATACTTACTTGTTCTTCGTCTTCTATTTCCAGGGTCTAGATTCTCCATTCACAATAGCATGTCAACGTTTGAGTGTTTGGCCACCACCACCACGGACGTGCTTGATTGTTCTTTCTTTGTCTCGTAATTTCACTGCGAGGCATCGAAGGAATTAGGTAGGTAGAGGGACTGATAAAAAAGAAGTCACCAGTCAAGCGTAAGCAAAGCTCCTAAATCAGAAAAGTAGCAAAGCGTACCCGCGCATATAACATTCCCTCTCGGTTATTCCTTGTTCCTTGCAGCAGCTACAAGTCCGGAAAAGAAAGGAAGAAAAAAAAAGAGAACATCACCATCAGATCAAGCAAAGCGAGAAATATAAAGAGAAATTCCACTCACGAAACTTTATAAGCGCTTGCATGAGAGAATCAGTCGTTCTCCTCCACCATCTCTGAGATGGATGCTCAAAGGGTCATCCGATAGTTGCCTCTACCAAATCCAGAATATATTGCACCAAACCAAGGACAATCCCCGTGGATCGACAGATTGCAACCTTCAACAAGATCCAAAAGCCAAGCATTAGTAGGTGCCAAAACCAACAAAGAAATGTAAGAAGTATCAAAAGCTTCAGGCTCTCAACAAACAGCCCATACCCCGTAACTGCACCAGTCGATGTCAATCGCCTTGTTGCTTGCTTGCTTCCTTTCTTCCACCTTGAAAAAACCAAGTCCCCCGCAAGGACGAAAGAAGGAAACAGAGAAAACAAAGCAGAATTGAATGAAGCGAAGCTGCCAAAAACTTTGGAACCAAACCCGGTCGTTTTAAGTCGGATCATTGAAAACTCTGTTTGCTGATGATATACAGAAGAAAAAACGACTTTAGTCTGTTGTTCTCCCCCCCAATCACCCCGCTATCCCCTGTGTAAAGTGTCCCTTTTCAAAACGGGACCAAAGAGACGCCTTTGCCATGATGCCAAGCCAAGCTCGTCTGCGTGAGAAAGGCTGCCAGCGACCACAAGGAGAAAATGCCCAGAAGTTGCAACGATGACAGGAGCATCTGTAGCGAGCTCGTAATTGCCGTGGTCTGCACTGATGCCTCCAGAGTTTTCATGGAAAATATAAGCCCCGCGACAAGCTGTGCTGCTCTGTTTAGCTGGTGAAGACGATAAACCTGGAATATCAAGCTTTACAAGCTGGCCTCTACGAAAAACTCATTGCCAAGCAAACCTGGAAAATCATCGGTACTAGAGGTCGAATCGATGGCTTGTCCTCGGCAAACTTCTCTCCGCAAAATTGCACCACCAGCCCCGACACATATGGAACTAGAGCAGCGATGGCCGCGGGGCCCGTATACTTCCAGGCCACGAAGAAACTCGAAACAGCCAAGACCGTGGAGAGGGCAGTGCATACCGTGGCCGACACATTGTATCCCCAAGTGTAGGAAGCAGCAGCTAAAGCATCGCCTTTGGAACCGCGAACACGAACAGGTCCTCGAAACTTATGAGCAACGAAAAGGAATGCTGATACTCCGATGTAAAAGTAGGCTTCCGTGAAGAACAAAATGATAAAATCTGCATTCACGAGAGAGATTAAGTCGATCTCAATGGAGATGGAAAATAGAAAAGCGAGACAGAAGAAAGATGGTGAGAAGTACCTGTTACTACTGTATCGTCGAGAAGATATTCAAAGACGGTCCGAAAAACGTATGGCGGTAGCACGACCGAAGCAACCAGCACAAAAGGTCCAAGCAGCCAGAGAAGCGATCGTCGCTTCACTCCTGTAAGCAAACGATCTTCTCCAGCAGCTCCGCTATAGAACGAAACGAATCCAGTTTTGCCGCTGATATCTGCGTCCTCCAAAAACTCCAAGTCGATGTGATCGGGTTCTTGAGAAGCTGCTGCTACTTCTTCTCCAGCAGGCTTCTCTTGCGAGTCGAATTCTTGCGGGCTGTTGCTGCTCGTCACCTCGTCTTTCAGAGAGACTCCACGAGACAACCGGCATTTTGATCCACCTCGGAGTCGTTCTAGTCGCGAAGAATGCAAAGCTGGGGTGATCAATCGGGAAGAAACGTTTGGAGCAACGGCAGTGAGTCGACTCGAGAGGTTTGGAGTAGCGGCAATCCTTCCTTTTAGCTTGAGCGAGCTCCTGGACCCGGTCTTTAATCGCGCTAGCTCGCTACTCCCGATAGCGTACCTGTTATACGCTGGTTGCGCCGGGAGCAAGAGGGCCGGGGCAGCCAATCCTGCCATTACCACGACCGCGACCTCGATCGACGCCTACGCCACGTCCATTCCCTGCAAAATATCGCGATTTCTAACGCCCTAGCATGGAACACCTTCTTACAGGGAATGCGCGCAACTCTCTCGCCAAGCCCTAACAACAATGTTCATGCCAGCCACGTGTCATAAGGTTCCAGCTTGGACGACACGTGTATCCAACGTGTCATGGCATCTGTCCTGAGATTCGGGCTTTTAGATCAAAGATTTTTTCTTGACAGCAACGGCGGCTGAATATTCGATGGGGACAGTGACGCGCGAATATTCGCGCTGGGGACCACGCACGATGGATGAATATTCACCACCCATTACCAGTGAGAATATACTCACTGAGAGCAAATAAATCGTGGCGCCATAGAAAACGATTATAGCCCAAATCTGTGAACGAGAGTCGCACACAAAAACTATAGTCCCCAAACTAGAAAGGCGACAAAGCCTGGAGAAATACCGGCATGCCGTACAAAGATTCCCATGTTCGTACTGGGCCCGCATCATCACGAATATGCTTCTGCGCCGCGGCATATTCGGCGGGATAAGTATATGCTGCTCTTTTACGAAAGGAATATTCGCTCGGCGACACACAAAAAGAGGGCGGGGGAGCGCGGTTTGGTGATTTTTTGTTGATGCTTTGCGCAGCGGCTGTAGGATTTTTGATCAATTGCGCGGATGGGCGTCACGGAGCTCCAGGCGAGGTGAGGCTCTAGGGGAGATCTTCCCGAAAATTCGATGATATCATATGTCTAGCATTTGTGGGAATGATCTTTCGGCTTCATTGTCCCACAGCGTCAAGGCGCTGGTGAGATCCGGGGGTGAATTCAACCAGGACAAGGCGTGCTCTACATTCTACTACGTTCCATCGTCGGGCGAGGCATCGGCGCATCTCTCCGCCTCCGGGCTTGGAAACGATCAAAAGCCGCGGTTGCGATGGACGCCGGAGCTGCATGATCAGTTTGTCAAGGCCGTGGCGCAGCTCGGTGGCCCCGAGAGTCCGTAGTTTTCTCTCTTCAGAGTTTTTACTTTTGGTCTTTTACTAACCAAAAGAACGTTTGATTTCAGAAGCTACACCAAAGTCGGTCCTGAAGCTAATGGGCGTTCAAGGGCTAACACTTTACCATCTCAAGAGCCATCTCCAGGTAAAAAAATCTCGTTTTTCTGGAGGATTGGACACAATTTTTCCTGTGATCGTAGAAGTATAGACTTGGAATGCAAATACCCCGACCCGAGACTAGCGGCGATGGTAAAAAATCTCTTTTTCCCGCTTCTTGTCGTTGATTCGAGCTCACAAGTAACAATTCATCAACAGGCAGGAGTAACTCCGAGGACAGCAGCAAACAACAAGAGTGAGCATTTAATTCATTTATCTTGGCCGATCTTGGAAAATCAAAACTTTGATGGTTTTCCACCAGGAGTTTGCCTCTCACGCAGATAATTGCGGTGCACGCGGAGGTCGAGAAGAAACTCCGGGAGCAGATGGAGGTAATGACTAAGTTCGTGGAGGATCCATTCTCATTTTGATTGGTGATTTTACACGATCCATGGACAGATCCAGCAGCAGCTACAGGCCCGGATCGACGAGCAATGCCAGCACCTGTACAAGCTGATGGAGAGCGCGAGCCCTCAGAAGAAATCGATCATGGCGGACCTGGAGGCCGCTCGAAAGCTCCAGCTCGACGGCATCATGGAGCTGTCCAAGATGTACTCGGGGCTCCAGAGCGCGGTGGAGCAGCACGGCAAGCTGGATCAAGCGACGAGCAACAACACCGCGGGGATCAAGAGGCGCCCCAACGACGATGATCCCCAACGCCAGCTCGAGGAGGAGCAAGAGAGGGTGACAAAGTCGCTAGTGCAGTGGAAGAAGGAGCCAGTGTGGGATGACGACGAAGCGCAGCATGCATCAGGCTCCACTGCCGAGATCTCGACGGGGCTCAATCTCAGTAGCGGTCGCGGCTTAGACTTGAATGGCTAGCTAAGATAGAGCTCCACGAAAAAAGGGTGAACAAGTAAAAGCCCTAAAAGCGAGAGGAAATGATTCGATTCTCGACAGAAAAAGAAAAAAGATTCCATTTGGTGCGGTTCCACTGTCCCGGAAAGAAAGAAAAAAGATGCGGCGAAACTTTGTGGGATTCCTCTTGCTTATGTTAATTCTAGAGGATGAACTGTACGGATACGTTGATGTTTTTCTGCATGACAGTTACTGATTGCCAAAGGGAATTGACCTAAAGCCTGGATGGATTGAAGTGAATGCGACGAAGAGCCCATTCGTGCATTGCAATGACACAATGTTCGTTTGCAAGATAAGGTGGGGAGGGCCCAATCCCTAATAAACCCCTGGACTGCATCTATATCTACACCAAGAGAGGGACAAGACGCGAGCAAAAAGGTATATTTATACTGACAATTTCTTGTTAATAGATTACATTAGTTTGGATATCTCTTGGTGATTTACAAAGTGGTGGTTTTGGAATCTCTTGCGAATTGTTTGAGCGTAATGATAGTGTTGAACTTGCATGATTGATGACCTGTAGGCGCACCAGAGGAGAAGCATGGGAGAACCTTCTGCCAAGAATTGCGTGGTTTGCGAGATTATATATATCCATCTTCCAATCCATGTCTATATGAATGAAGCCATAAAGGTGGCAGCGATCCACCATATGTCTGGATGGATCGAGAAGGTGGCATACGAGCGTGAGAATCGTACTAGTGACAACGTTTTTAGGGTTATCCTCTATCGTGGCTCGTGTTTCTTGGTCTGGTTAACGAAAAAAGGAAACAAAATGTTAGGATACATTTTGGCTTTCCATCTCGCAAGCAACGTAATGCATTAAAGTTCAAAAGAGGAACTTAGCTTAATTGAAAAGCCACCGGCTGCGCCCGCCACGTGTCGGTGGGCACCAGTTTTTTTTTGTGTGTGTCTTTGTTAATAATTTTTTTCTTCGCCTTGTGTTCCGCCATAGCCATCGAGCTCGCTCCCTGCTTCGCGTCCCCGCATTTCACTTCGATTTCTCTCTCAAGCAGGCGGGGCATCAATCTCTACAGTGCAACGATCTGGATTTCGACCATTGAGCGTTCCATCGCAGGTCAAGGAGGGAATTCGCAGGAATTGCCGCGTTTCCAGTGTTTCTTGGCATCTCCTCTTCCAGCAGGGGCGCCAGACTCTCGCAGGGGACGGTAGCAGCTTCAATTCTTGCGCTCCAAGGCTGGAATCTTGGGGCTAAGATCGCAAGAATTTCTAGATTACTGTAGCATTCTCGGAGCTTCCTCTTGGTTCTAGCGCCGTTCCCTCTTCGCTCTTTCTTCTTCTTCTTCTTCTTCCTCCTTAATGTGTATCTCTGGAAAGCGAATTTCCAAGCGGTTAGGGTTCTAGCCTAGAGGATCGCGAACTCGCTCGCTCGCTCGCCTAGAAATTTTTCTTTTCCCTGGGCTTTTTTTCTTCTTTTTTTCTCAATTTTTTCTCATTCGACAGGCGGTATACTATATCACAAAGATTATTAGTTGGCAAGGCCTTATCCAAATCTGTGATGTCCGTATCGCGCGTTTTGGGTTGTAGCGTCTACAGCCGAAATGCTGTATGAGGCTCTCAAGCAATCCACGACAAAGATGTCGCAACACCAAAGGCCGTCGCTTCCATCTCCTTCCCCGCATCATCACCAAGCGCTGTCCGATCCACAGAGAATTGCGAGCGGCTCTTCTCCCGGCGCTACGAGCTCTGGCGGCGGAGGAGGAGCAAGCAGCAACGCCGTCTCGAATGCGGCGGCCGCCGCCGCTAAGCAGCGCCTCCGATGGACGCCGGACCTTCACGAGCGATTCGTAGAGGCTGTTGGGCAGCTGGGAGGAGCCGACAGTAAGTTTCTCTTAGATCTCCGAAACACTGTTGTGTGTTGCTTTCGGTCAGGAGCTACTCCCAAGGGTGTTCTTCGCGTAATGGGCGTGCAAGGACTCACAATCTATCATGTCAAGAGTCATTTACAGGTAGGGGGTGATTGGTTTAGCTCGTTTTTTCTATCCTGTCCTCTGCCAGTGATCATGATCTCTGGTGTCTCCGCAGAAGTACCGACTTGCGAAGTACATACCAGATCCGATGGGCGATGGTAAGTTCAACTAGTTAGATTTTCTGACCGGTCTGCTTCCTGTGTTTGAATGCATGGGAATGGCCCCGAGGGAATCCAGTTTGGAATTAAACTATGTCTGACAGGGAAATCGGACAAAAGGAGGCACCCGGATTTGCCGAGTCTCGGAGGATCGTAAGTTGGTGAATGGGTTTTTTCATTGTAAACTTGCTACAACTCCCCCTCTCCTCTCAACAGTGTTCAGATCAACGAGGCATTGCGTATGCAAATGGAGGTACAAAAGAGGCTTCAGGAGCAGCTCGAGGTAAGCTGTTTTCCGTGCTTTTATGATTTCTTCTCCTCCCGCGAGGACAGAGGGACACCGACTTAATATGTCCTGGATGGAAAAACCTGAAACGCAGGTGCAACGGCACCTCCAATTGCGAATCGAAGCGCAAGGGAAGTACCTGCAGAAAATTATTGACGAGCAGAAGAAGATGAGTGGGGGTCTTGACAACCAGCCAGGTGCCAGTCCCGGATCGACGCAAGTTTTTAGCTCAGATATAACAGTCCAAGGCTCAGATCTCAAATATGAATTGACCGAGAGCGTACCAGGTCTGATGGATCCACCAGGAGGAGGTGGAGGAGGAGCTTTGCCAGCGATCACATCAGCGCTTTCGGCACTGGGATCAATGGCAGCTAACAACAGTTTGTCGCGAGAAAACTCGCCGGCGTCAGTCCCAAATCCTTTGGGAGCCAGTTACACTTTACTCAACAACAACAACAACAACATTAGGACCGATGACGCGGTAGTAGTATCACCGAGACACCAGGAATCAGTAGAAGAGTATCTTCATTCGAAATCTTTACAACAGCAGCAGCAGTCTTACCACCATTCGAGTTATTTGCAGTGTAACACAGCAGGTATGCTTTTCAGTCCTGTTTCCAGGAATTAAGTTGGTTTCTGTTTTGGTGCAGGCAGGCTTCCATGACCACAACACTGGCGAGAGTTTTCTGTAATATGTAGGAGCTCTATAGCCGCCGCAGCAAACGACTTTGTCCACTTTGGTACGATCGTTTCTTGCCGCTTGTTGAAAGAATTGAGACTTTTGTAACCGCGTTCCTGCTGTACTTTTTTTTTTCTTCTAGACTTCTAGAATGGGAGAACGAGAAAAATATTATATCGGAGAGAAAGCCTACCAAAAGTCGGCACAAGCGCACGCTCCATCTTGAAAGTGGTGAAAGCGATGAGCATCTCTCACAGTGATCGCCCTCTTGGCGATCCGGGACATGAACTTCGTGGCGGTGTGGCAGTCGGTGCACATCCGCAAGTTCTTCACCACGAAGAGAGGATCGCTCCTCCCGCGAGTGCTGATCATCCCAAACACCACCGCCAGCTTCTCGCTGTGGAAGCTCAGCGATTGCTCCTTCTCCTCGTCGTCGAAGTCGTGGAGTACGTTGCTCGTATCGGGTACGTATCCGGCCTCTCTCATCTTTGCATTGAGACTATGGAGCTCGTCCAGGATCGCGCTGATTTCGGGGTGGTTTTTCCCTCCCGCCACGAACTCGTGAGCTCTACCTTTGATCGTGATGCTACTTAGACCCGCGGGCTTTCTTAAACGCCTGGCGTCCATAGCCTTCCTAACGGAAATCCCATCGCCGTGCTTACCAGCGGCATCGTAGAGCCTTGAGAGTAGCACGTACGGAGAGGAGCACACCGGGTTGGCATTTGTGGCCCGTCGGGCGAGCCTGGCGCCACGGCCCACGTCTCCGTGCGTACGGCAGCCCGCGAGGAGGGACTTCCACGCGGTATATTCCGGCTGGAATGGCATGGCGTCGAGGAGATCCTCGCCGTCCATCAGATGGCCCGTTCTGGCCAGAAGATCCACCATGCATGTGTAGTGGGCCGCGTGTGGAGCGAGCGCGAAATCTCCGACCAGCGAGAGGAAGTAGCGGTGGCCGAGATCGAGGAGGCCGGCGTGGCTGCAAGCGCTGACCATCGAGACGAATGTGACGGCGTCGGGATGGATCCCGGAGAGAATCGCGCGCTGGAAGAGATCGGCAGCTTCGCCGGCGCGGCCGCTCTGGGCGTAGGCGCCCAGCATCGAGTTGAGGAGGATCGCGTCGCAGAAGGCCATGGCGTCGAAGAGCGATCGCGCTTCGTCCAGGCGGCCGCATTTGGCGTAGAAGTTCACGAGCGCGGTGGCGAGGCTGGCCTCAACGAAGATCTCGCCCTGGCTTGCAAGGAGGAGCTCTTCGTGGAGAAGTTTTCCCTCGCGCAGCGCCGTGAGGATCGTGCACGCATCCAGCGCGCTCACGAAGCTGATCCCGTCGGGGTGGATCCCTTCCAGATCCATGCCCGCGAAGATCCCCAGCGCCTGGCGAGCGTGGCCGTTCTGGGAGAACGCCGCGAGGAGCGCGTTCCAGGAGATCACGTCGCGCAGATCCCCGGCGCTATCGAAGAGATCCTTGGCGCGAGCGATCTCGCCGTGGAGGCCATAGGCCGCGATCATCGCATTCACCGCTGCCGCGTCCTTGATCGGGATCGCGTCGAACAGATCCCGGGCCTCTTGCAAGAAGCCGCTGTGGGCGAAGGCGGTGACGATCGCGGTCCAGATCACTACGTCCGTGAGCGGCATCCGCTTGAAGAGATCCCACGCCCGGTGGAGATCGCCGCTGTGGACACAGCCCTGGATCATCGCGATCCAGGATACCATGTCCCGGAAGGGCAGCGCCTGGAAGAGCTCAAGCGCGTCGGGGAGGCGACGGTTGCGACCCATCCCCGAGATCAAGGCGTTCCAGCACACCTCGTTCCACTGCGGCATCAAACCAAAGAGCTCGGTGGCGTTATCAAGATGCCCGGCTTGGGCATAACCTCCAATCATGGTATTCCACGTCACCACGTTTCGTACGGGCGCCCGGTCAAAGATCTCTCGCGCGTGGGTACACAGGCATCGCTGTGTGTAACCCGCGATTAGCACATTCCACGTCGCTGCGTCGCGGATCTTCATGGAATTGAAGAGATTCCTTGCCTCGGCCAAGTTCCCCTGGCGGGCAAATGCTGATATCAAGGTGTTATACGACACGGTGTTCTTGTACGGCATCTCGTCAAAGAAAAGCTTTGCATCTCGAAAGCTTCCATAGCGGGCGTAGCCAGAGAGCATCCCATTCCACGAGACGACGTCCTTGTTTGGCGTCCGATCGAAAGTTCTTGCTGCGAGATCCAGATACCCATTCTGGGCATATGCTGCGACCATGACATTGTGAGAGAATGCGGTCGGATTCCGGATAGAATCGAAGCAGATGACGGCGTCGGCCACGCAGCCGCATCTTCCGTACATCTGCACGAGTAATGTGCCCAGCAGGGTGTGGCGATCCGAGCCCAGCCGCCGGAGCTCCGAGTGGATGCGCTTGCCATTGGCGAGATCCCTGGACAGGCAGCACTGGCGAAGCAGCGACGCATAGATCGATTCATCGCGGTGGCTGGATTCCTTGCAGAAAGATCGCCGAGCGATGTCCCGGCATTTCATCTACATCTTCGCCATACACATCAGATGTCACGTCAGCTTGATATATTGGTGATGTGGCATGCCACGTTCAGTGTTTGCTTAGTCATTAAAAGTTCATGTCATTAGGGTGCGGTGTAGGATAGCATGGCGATGGCCACTACTACGGCTGGGGCGATGGCTTGCACGATGCCCCAAGCGCGGCATTACAATGCCGCTGGAATTTGTGGTAGAGTAGCCGCTCCTAGGGCTTGTCCACGGCCGATTTCGCGATCTCACGCTCTCGGAAGCACCAGCGCTGGAGGATTTCGGCCTCTCAGAGCAGTTGCGACTGCGGATCCAACGGCTTCTTCTTCCCCATCGTCGGCAGTGCAACAGGTTCGTGATTTCTAGATTGATGGAAGAAAGCAAACACGAAACTGTGATTCCAGAAGAAGCAGTATCACTTCTTGCTGGCCAACGCGAAGTTCATGCTGGACGAGGAGGAGCATTTGCAGGAGCTCTTGAGAGAGCGCCTCCGGAACTACGACGAGCGTAACAAGGAGCAAGATTTCTGGCTGGTGATAGAGCCCAAGTTCGTGGAGAAATTCCCAGAGATGTCGGCTCGGCTCAACCGGCCCGCTGTGGCTCTCGTGTCCACTGACCCCGTCTGGATCACGTAAGTTCTTCTAGTCTCTCGCTAGTTTTTCTTTCGCTCTCCTCTCTAATCAATCGATCTTCGTGGATTGGATTGGATTCATGGAGCACAGATTCATGAAGCTCAGGATCGATCGCGTCTTGAAAGGCGTGATCGAGGCGGAGAGCTTGTCGGAAGTGGCGGAATCGAATCCAATCGACGTCCAGTTCGATCGGCCGGACAAATGGACAGCGCCATATCCAAAGTATGAGACTGGATGGTGGACTCCATTTTTGCCCCCAAAGTAAATGCGAGAGAATATTCCGCGAACGTTTGCCCTCGCATATGCTCCAGAATCTTGCCTTGTAGCTTATACTCTAGAATCTTGCGACACGTGTATCAATGACATTGCAACGTTTAGGCTAAATATCCACAAAGCAATTTGGGCGGGGCGATTTTTCCAGTTCGCGCGCGAGCGCGGCAAGCGATTTGTCGGAATCGAACCCTGATTTTCAGTTTGTCTTTCTTGCCGGGGCGGCGCTCGTGGTTCCTCGCGATTGATCGATCCATCCATCGTCCATCGGCCACGAGGTCAGTTTTTTAGGTCTTCCATCCATCTGCGCCATCTTCTTGCACAGTGGAATCAAAAGGATTTCCTCTCTTTCTTTCCTTTCTTCCTTTTTTTCTCGGTCTCTTGGGATGATTAGGACAGGGTTTTACTTTTGACCGTGATAGCACTTTCTTTTGTGGGTCGATCCATCCGTTCTACGGCACTGTTAGTCAGAAGAGAGCTAAAAAATCGTTTTTTTTTGTTCGTTGCTAGGCTGCATTCGATCTATAGCACTGTTTAGTCAGAAGAGAGCTAAAAAATTTGTTCTTTGTTAGGCTGAAGGAGAGAAGTATGCATTCAAAGAGTCTTCTCAAGGCGGCACTCAAGCACAGGAATCTGCCACCCAACGTAATAGCAAAGCGAGAGAACGAGGTTTCTGGCGGGGAAGGCTCTGCAAACTCGCCCTCTCAACCGGCGGTGAAGAAGGCCGCCATCGCCGCTCCTCCTCCGCCTCCTCCGGTGGTCAAGAGATCCTGCCTTTGCGCGCCGACGAGCCATCCCGGATCGTTTCGCTGCCGCTTCCACCGCTCCAGGCAGAGGCAATGGGCTGGGAGGCCTCTCAGCTCCGCGATCAAGACATTGCCGAGGCCGAGCACCAGCGAAGGCGTGTTGTCATCATCGTCCAGCACCGCCACCACCACCACCACCAGCAGCAGTAGCAAAGGGGCTGTTCTTCCTTTTAAGAAGTTCGTCCCGGTGCGAAGCAGCATTAGTGCGCATGAGACGACGAGGCCGAGCAGGCTGAGCCGAATGGAAGTTGCTGCTTCAGTAAGTTCCAACTCTGAGACAAGTGCTTCTCGGTGAGTTTTTCCTTGTCTAGAGTTTTCTCATTATCTTTCGGATGCACATGTGTTCTTTCGAATCACGTTGGATAGTTTCTCAAGGTTGTGCGAATTGCGAATGCAGGTGTAGCACTCCCGGAAGCTGCAATTTGGATGCGACGGAGCCACAACTGGAGCAGATCGTCAAGGATGAAGGTGAGTTTTACGTTCTTTTTTCGTGTCTTGAGTTTGATCCAGAACGAGAGAATGTTATTTGTGAGATTTAGGGAGCGCCGAGAAGGTTCAGGATGTGGTTGAAATCACGAGCAATACTGCAGTCCTCGAAGACGACTACAAATGTGCCTTGCGAGTCATTCAAATCTCCCAGACCGCCTCCGAGTTTGCTACGGACCACCCAGTAAGAAACTGACAGCCGTGGTTTTAGCTCAACTTGTTCTCTTCATTCTTCTTTTATCTTTCCCCTTCTCTCAGGTTGAAGTAGCCAGCTTGTGAGCTCTGATTCGTCCTTTAGTGTACATACAATCTTCATAAATACATAGGGCTTATGAAAAAGAGCATGTAGTTATTCTCAAGTTTAATCAAACAATTCATACAAATTTTTTCATACAAATTTTATTGATCGTAGTTGTGCGCACAATTCTATCCGCTGTTTACGAGGGCCAGCAGCAGCGCGAGAAGAACAAGGAGGAGGCGAGTAATCTGCGTTGGATCGGGAAGCTGTGGAGCGCAAGCTAGCAGCTGATTTATCACAGTGGTGAGCAAGGGAAGACTGGATGCACCGACAGGAGCCAGATTTCCCGAAAGTAATGCGAGCAGGATGCTCGAGAGCTGTTGCACCAGCGCCGAGATTGATCCTCCATTCACAAAGGACTGCAAGATGGGGAGCACATTCGTGGTGAGAGACTCGTCGGCTCCGCCAACTGCGAGGAGGAGATCCTGGAGGGCTGCTGTCGAGCAATTGCCTGAAGTCGGACTTGGTGCTGCCATAGTTCACACTTAAGCTAAAAGAAAAAAAGAGAGAAAAGAGCTGCAAACCTGTCTGCGCAACGGATGAATTCATCATATACACCAGAACTACAAGAACCATAGTCATTACTCGCGCCATTTGGGGTTGATGTTGGAGCAATCCGAGCAGCAATTTATATAGAGCTCCTTTCAAGATTCTTGCTTGTTATGGACACCAGTGTTGAATGGATGAGTGTACTGCTCACTTGCAGCAGCAGCTCATCTAATAGTTTCCCAATTTCAGAACGAGATTCTCAAAGGCTCGAAGTATGAGAAGGAAGCTTTCTTCTGTGCATGCCATCTTTGAGAATACACTAGGATATTGAAGTTTACTAATGAAATAGTTAATTTAGATATTGTATACATTTAATTATATTATTTCGTGATAGAACACTCATCCATTTGACGGACTTCTGGATGTTTGGAATCAAGCAACTTATATTAGAGCACTCAAACGCTTCTCTTTCTTTTCGTGCGTGACTCGAGATTTTGAAAAGCTTTCTGTGGCAGTAGCAAGCCTGAGTTCAGGAAATTGCTTGACGGCAGCTCTCCAGTGGCGGAGCTGATGAGCCCCTCACTAAGCTTCTTGCTTACATTCCTTTTTGGGAGGTTTGGCTCCTAGTGTTCCCTTGATCACTACTGCTGTAAATCAGTTGCTAGCTTCATTGCGGATCCAACACAAATTGCTCGCCTCCTTATTCTTTTTGCAAGAGCAGAGAGAGTTATAACACTTCTCCATAAATATTTTATCTAGATTTACGTTGGGGCAGCTTTATTGATTTGCTTGTGTACTGTGGACTTCTAGTTCTGCAAAATCTAATCATTTAGTTGTTGTGTATCTACCAGTTTAGTTTAGCCATGAGTTTTTCTCATGGTAAAATACATATCTTCTTCAACAAAAACTTGGGAAATTTTTGATGTGATATCTACCTTTGATGTTACTTCAATAAGGGTAAAATATATTAGGCATTAAACTTTACATGTTTTGGATAATTTTATCCGCTCTTTACGATGGCCAGCAGCAGAGCAAGAAGAACAATTACGAGGCGAGTAATCTGTGTTAGATCCGCAATCCGTGAAGCACAAGCTAGCAGCTGCTTTACAGCAGTGGTGATCAAAGGAACACTGGATGGACTGACAGGAGCCAAACCTCCTAACAGGAATGCAAGCAGGAAGCTTAACAGCTGTTTCAACAACGCAGCTATTGATCCTCCATTCAGGAAGCTCTGCAAGATGGGGAGCACATTCATAGTGAGGGACTCATCAGCTCCGCCGGCCATGAGAAGGAGATCTTGGAGGGCTGCTGTCGAACAATTGCCTGAACTTGAACTTGGTGCTGCCATAGTCAACCCTTTTCAAAATCTCGCCGAGTTGCGACAAACAGAAGGAAAAGCGAATTGTTTGAGTAGCAAACCTGGGCTCGTCCCAGCAGCAGATGAATCGACCATACACATCAGAGTTACAAGAGCCAGTGTTGACAAGAATACTGGGGAAAAGAGCGCCATTGCTTGGGTTTAGATGTTTGGAGCGATCAAGCAATTTATACTAGGCACGCTGCTGTGAGAGAGTGTTAAGTTGCCAAACACGTTGAAATAATTGGTTTGAAAGGTAGGTTTATCTTAATGTAATTAGTTTTTACAACCCCGTTTCTTTAAGCGCGGTTGAGTGAAAATTAGGGCAACAGTTCTTCTCCCTTTTGTTTGCCTTGTGGTTTCCATTTTGGCGAGAATGAGCAGGAAGCCCGGGGATTGGGACTGCCCCTTCTGCGACCATCTCAATTTCAGCCGCCGCGATTCCTGCCAGCGCTGCGGCGAGCCACGCCCCATGTCCGAGCGCCCCCGCGATGTGGAGTTCATCGGCAACAGCAGCGGCGGCGGCGGCGGCGGCGGCGGCATGCGGGGTGGATCTTACGGCTTTGGCGGCGGCGGGGGCGGCGGCCGCTCCTCCATGGCCGGATTCCCGGCCGAGGATGTGAGGCCCGGGGATTGGTACTGCGTCGAGTGCAATGCGCACAATTTCGCGAGCAGGACGGGGTGCTACAAGTGTGGCGCGTTCCGCGACCACGACGGCGAAGTGGGCATCGATCGCAGGTTCGATCCTTCCTCGGACCGCCGAGACTCGTCCTTCTCATCCAGGAGGTATTTTACCTCGCCTTCTTCCTCGGCCTCCTCGTATGCTAGCGCCGGTGCCGGGGGTGGTGGTGGCGGCGGCGGCTTTGGCAGGTCCGTGTGGAAGTCGGGGGACTGGATATGCCCGAGGTACTTCTCTTCACAAAACTCTCTTTTGCCAGGATTCTTTATCTTTCGAGAGAAAGGTTCTCCTTTTTCTCTCTCTCTTCTTTTTCTCTTTGCTACAGTTTCTTTGTTTCTCCGTTTTGTTTGGCTATGGAACTGGCATTTTCTTTCGTGAATTGATGCTTCAATGGAGGCTGACAAGGTTTTCTTTGGATTTTGCCAGAACCGGCTGCAAAGAGCACAACTTCGCCAACAGGGTCGAGTGCTTTAGGTGCAATGCTCGTCGCGAGCCAGGTGAGTTGGAAAAAAAACCGACTTTGTTTCTTTTCTCTTGTCGTTGCTGATGGATCCCTCGTCTCGTACAGGCATGTAAATTTGATAACAATTCCAACACGGATGTGATTTGTCCCGGCAGCCGCATTTGTGTCTCTCTCGTCCAGCATCGAGAAGAAGGTGAAACTCCGTTACCAAGAAGACTAGAGGTAATAGTAGTCGCTGAGCATGACCCTTTGCTGGAGATCATCCTCGTAAAACCTCCTCCCCTCCTCAGTCTCTAGCAGCTTGTCCAGGTTCTCTTTGTTCTGTTTTATTCTTTTGTCCATGTACTCCCAGGCTTCGTCGCGCACGCGTTGGACCTGGGAGAGACAAGAAATATATATCAGCTTGTGATTGATCAACACGAGTATCTCGAGTACCTGTCGTGGCTTTGGCGCACCGAATGTTGCGTATCCAACATTTCCAGGATAATAACTTGCTCTTCCAGGAAGAGAAGCGCCATAAATCCCCCAACGGCCTTCATAAATAAGCGCACCGTATTCGTCCACTGGATAAACAACAGGCTGCAATCCAATCCAAATAGTGATTATCCAGAAGAAAAAAGAAGAAAAAACAAACTTCTCGTACCTGGGGAATTCGTGGTGATTTGTTGAAAACCTCCCACATCTCTGCAGCTTGAAGCTCTGTTTTCTCCATAAGTCGGTCTACGAAAAGAACCGACTTGCGAGCTTGAGCAAGAAAGAAAACATAAAATAGTAAGGAAATGCATTACCTGCCATGGTTTCTAGAGCAGACCGATACTCCAAGAGCACCGACGTGCACTTCTCAACGGCGTATCTCATGTATTCATCTCGTAGCGCTTGAATTTTTGGATTCAGCTGCAAGAAGTTCTCCGTTGTTAGGCCATGATTAGAGCAAGCGGGTCCTCTTACATGAACCAGGACGTCCTTTCTCGTCTTGTAGTATGTCTTGCCCAAGGCAGTGAACCCCGTCTGAAAGATTAGCCGATCAATGAGAGCTCCAGCTTGGCCAAGGAAAGATCCTGATAACCAAGAGGTATTGTCTCTGCCAAAAATCAGCTCTTCTACAATTCTGGCTGCGGGTTCATCAAAGTGAGCAATAAATTTGATGGACGAATGGAAGGAAACTTACGAGCACATAGTCGGACAGCAGCATCTACATACTCTTGCTTCTTTGAGTAAACAAAATCCGGGGGCTCTGCGTATTGCATGTTAACAGTGGTATCCATTTTACGGATGTTAGTCTGAAGCATAAAAAGAAACATTATTCCTGGAGATAAAACGGCAATATACCTTTATGAATGGAGTATGAGGATTCGGGAAGTAGCAGTCTAGTACAGCAACAGCAGCTTCCCGATACGCTAACCTAGTGCGAGCTTCGCCAGTTTGATCTAGCACGTCTTCCTGGCCAGTAGCAAAAGACCCTCCTTGCTGCAGGAGAAAAGAATTCAGCACGGCAACTAAAATGCTCGTGGCAGGAAACGTACTCTACTTATTGCTTCTTCGAGTTCCGCTTTTTCAATGAATTCCTTGTCATGCCGTATTGCTAGAATGACTGCCTCGTTTCTGTAAGACTAGAAAGAGTGAGAACACAAGTGGCTGTGCAATCTTACAGAATATTAGCTAGTTCCGCTCCACTAAAACGGTTGGTCAATTTGGTAATATCTTTCAGCAATCTGAGCTTCTCTTCCTCCGATTTAAACGGTTTGTTTTTAGCATGAACCTGATGCACGAACAGTAAGTAGCGATGGATGAAACTTGGCGAGAAAAGTAAACCTTTAAAATTTCTAATCTTCCTGCTTCTGAAGGAAGCCCCACTGCCATGATTTTGTCAAACCGTCCTTTTCTCAGGAGAGCTGCATCAAGCATATCAAGCCTGTTAGTCGCTCCGATGACCAGCACCTGGACAAACATTTGTAATCAGTGCCGGATTCAAAACTGCAAGTAACGTAAGATACGCACTCTTGATGACGTGAGGCCGCTCTGAAATCCATCAAGCTCGGTTAGCATTTGTATAAGGCCCTGCTCACGCTCCCTACCTCCCTGCACTTCAAGAGTGAATAACTCATCAAGTAATAGAAGACGGCATACGTACCCCTCCAACATCATAGTTTCCACGCTTTCCACCAATAGCATCAATTTCATCAATGAAAATGATTGATGGAGCAAAGTTTCTTGCTCTGGAGAACAGATCTTGCACACGAGCTGCGGCAACCCCGGCATACATCTAGAGTGTGACCGCAAGTTTCGGTTAACAAGACATGATACGAAATATATGGAAAGCTTACCTCAACGAACTCGGCACCACCAACAGAAAAGAACGGTAGTCCAGCCTCGCCAGCAATTGCTCTAGCTAACAATGTCTTGCCAGTCCCTGGAGGCCCATGCAGCAGCACGCCTTTGGGAACATAGACCGTAGGATCTTCTTTGCTTTCCTTGAGCAACTTCACAACTTCTTGAAGCTCAGCCTTGATATAATCCTGTCCGGCAAAGTCGTCAAAAGTTACGCCTGTTTTCTCCTCGGCCGAGAGAAATCTTGCTCTGGAAATTCAAAGAAAGACTACTAGATTAGAACCAAAAGATTCACTGCTTGATTTACCTGCTCTCACCAAGTGCGCCAAGCACGTAGTTACCAGCCGTGAGATCGCGCTCTACATTCCATCCGCGATCTAAAGGATCTCTAAACCTGGTGAAGTAAGACAAGGACCACTTGAGAAAGAAAAAGACTGATGCTGCCAGTGCCACCCGCATTCCCCACACGGTGACGATTTTAGCCTGTGGATAGAGCTGGTTCGCTATGGTGTTCGTCTTGATCACTTTTATGTCCTTGAGCTGCGGATGGAGAAGCTTCCAAACATCGCTCATGCAATCACCCGGCATTTTGTCAACCCAGTGGCGCCTGTAGACGACGGGCCTTTGCTCTACGACTGTCACTCCATCTTTGACAACAAGCTTTCGAGCAGGCTCGTCGGCGGCCTTTCCATCCACAAAATGTGGCAGTAGAACTGGCGAAATGAAAAGCTTGCAAGTAAGCCAAGTGAAGAGAAACAATGCTACGCAAACACTTACCAGCAATGTGCTGCCCGTAATTCGCGTACTCGACGTACTCCACCTTTCCTGCTTCCAAGAGCTTCCAGAATTTGCTAAAAGCAATGTTTTGCCCGGGCTCGGGATCCAAGTGTGTTCCCCTGAGAGCGCCTGAGAGCCGCTTGTGAAAAGTTCTCCATAACTCGAGCTGTTCTTGTTCGCGGTCGATCTGAAGTGCTACTTTCCTGTCCATTTCCAGCTGCTTGTCAATCCTTTCCTTCTCTCCCTCGGATACTTTCTAAGAAACACACAAAAAGAAACCAGAGCTAAGTATACAGAGTCTTGTGAGAAAAAAATTTAATACCTTGAAGATTTCTTGCAATCTCTCCTGTCCATCGACCGCGTTTTGAGGCTCTGCCAGCGGCTTAGAACTCAGATTCTGGCCCAGCCAGGCCATTTTGCCAGCCGCATTCTTCATCGCAAGCCCCTCTTTCTTGAGGGGCATCAAATGCCCTCTCCCAACGGGCAATTGCTCTGCCATACCTCGACACAGCAGCGCATTTGGCACCGAAAATCTCCGGATCGCATCGACGCTCCTCCGCCCGTCATGGCGCATCCGCCACAGGCAGTAGTCGCCCATGGCTCTAAAACCTTATCCCCATTTGAAATGTTTAGGGTTCTTGAGCTAGGGTTTTAGCGAAAGAGGAGAGCAATGCACAAGGACACGATCTTGAAGCTTGCCAGGGGATTCCGGGGCCGCGCCAAGAACTGCATCCGAATCGCCCGCGAGCGCGTCGAGAAGGCGCTGCAGTATGCGTATCGCGATCGGCGCAGCAAAAAGAGGGACATGCGCAGCCTGTGGATCATGAGGATCAATGCGGGCGCGCGGATCTATGGGGTAAGCTCTCACATTCTCGTTTTGAGAGATTTTTTCGAGAGATTCATCGCTGGTCTCGCAGCTGAGGTACAGTAATTTCATGCACGGCCTCAATCGCGAGAACATCCAGCTCAATCGCAAGGTTCTTTCCGAGATCGCGATGAACGAGCCCTACTCCTTCAAATGCTTGGCGGATATCAGCGATCAAGCCATCAAGGCCAAGGCCGCCGCTGCCAGGCCCAAGCTTGTCCCTTGAGAAAAAAAAAAAAAGGAAAACGAACTAGGCCTATTTGGCCCCAAGAATTTTAGGGTTCTTCGTCTTCTCCAGGGTTTGGATCGATGAGTGGCGGTACGCTATCGGATGTCTACCAGCAAGCTCGCGTCTCCCTCTTCAAAGTACGCGATGGTTTGGAGAGGCTAGAGCGCTTAGAATGCTCCACCAGTAGCAGTAGCAGTAGCCCCCGCGATGGGACTCTCTCCGGATCCGAGATCACCCAGTCAGTGAAGCGTGATCTAGGCCAACTCCAGAAGTATAGCGAGGAACTCGATCAACTGTGGCGGCTCCAGCTCCAAAAATCTCAGCGAGACTTGTGGAAACGGTGAGTTTTAGATCTCTTTCTTGGTTTGTACTTGATCTTGCTGTGGATCGATAGGAAAGTAGAACAGGTCCTTGAGGAAGCTGATTCCTTGAGGCTTGGACTGGAAAAGTATCTTGGTCGCCAGCATCGACGTCAGATAGAGGCACAAGAGCGAGCGGATCTTTTCAGGAGAATGGTTGGCCTTTTGATTCCTTTCATCTATAAACTCGTTTGGTGGCTTTCTTAGAATGGAGACTCGGCACAAGTGCTCCAAATCTTTGACGATGAGCAGCAAGCTATGCGATCCTTGCAACGCTCGTCCAATATGCTCGAGGAAGCCATGGCCGCTGGAGTGGCAGTTCTTTCGAAGTATAGTGTCCAGCGTGACCGTTTAAAGGTAAGCGCACGTTTTTGGACTTCGAGAGAAGCGTGTAAATAATTGTTGGCGTGTGTTGTCGCAGAGTGCTCAGCGTAAGGCATTGGACATTCTCACAACGGTGGGATTATCCAACGCTGTTTTGAGAGTTATAGAGAAGAGACATCGCATTGACAAGTGGATATCCTACACGGGAATGATCGTAACGATTGTTGTGGTCATTGCGGTGTGGATGTGGGTACGCTGAGCCGATAATATACGAGGGTGCCATTTATAATACTCCTTGTTTTTTCTTCTCAAAGGTTTCTTTGTTTTGTTTGTTTGGTTTTGTCACTTCTAGGTGCGATAATAAGATGGCTCCATTAAGACGTCGATATGAAAGTGCAGTATCCATCGAGGTAAAGTCGTCTCGACGATGAATCAGTTTTATCTATCCAGGCTAACTAAAGTTTTGTAGGACAAGTCCTTGCCAGATGGAGATGGCCAGGAGCATTAAATTGAAACTCGGCAGTCATCGTCGAGAACAAACTTGTGGGGAGCTGGCTTCTAATAATCTCGTGGCCCATTTCACTGAGATGTGAGGTCCATCGTGGTTACAGCGAAAGCTGGCCGAACGGACTTCACTCCGTGGGTTGCGAAGTCTTTGAAACCGTGGGGACCGGTGCTGCCACTGCCATAATTTCGAACGAATGGTCGGGTGGCTTTCATCTGAGAAGTTTTCTCAGCGAGAACAGTGATAGCAGCAAAAGTGATTGGAACAGGCAGGTTCATTATCACCATGCAACCGAGGCTCCTCCTCACGACACTTTTTTCCCTTTGGCCACTATTGCTTCTGCCACTGTGCTACTGGAGGAGAAGACTGCAACGAAGTGTGGGCTGCCTGCGGCGTCACAGCTATAGAAGGGATTATCCGAGAGGCGGGAATCTTGAGCTGCAGCTGGGAAAAAGAGATATTCAGCATTTTTACATTAGTTTTCGCTCGGATTGTCCTGCGTACTTGGAGAATCCAGCTACCGGAATGCCATCAGAATCAGAAGAAATGTTTTTAAACGACTGGGTGGAGCGGTGCCGTGCTGCCGCGGGGACAAAATAGTTCATAGCAGGTTGGCAGTACAAAAACAAGGGGACAATAGGAGGAGGAATGGCTACTCGGGTGACGATCGGGAAGCTTGTCCTTGAGCGGGGATTCCTTTTACCAATCGCTTTCAACGGGACACTCCACAGTTTGGTCCATCCCTTGCTCCTCCGTTATCCGGCTCCGTTTATGCAGTGAGGAGTGCTGCTGCTCGAGCTATGTATGGAAACTGGCCTCTTCCACCGCCACAGGTTTTGCTGCTCGCTGGCCTCCATCGCTACTTAGCTGCTGTGCTGCGTCGTCGGCACTCCCGACAGCCTTTTCGATTGCTCAAGGCTTCCAGACATGCCCGCTGGTGATTTCAGGACATCAGATCGAGAAGCTCGGATGCAGTAGTGGACAGGCAGTGAAGCAGAATGAACGACGATCGGTCTACAAGCTCCGAGGATGGAGACAAGCTTGCGGGGAAATTCAGACGGGTTTCTTCCTCGGACTTGGAGTTCCGGGCCAACGGGAAGAGCAATGTTCATAGGCTATACAAGCAGGAGCAGGACAAGTCGAAGCAGATGAAATTGGGAAGCAAGGTTGATGGCTTTGAGAGGCAAGGACAAGCATGGTACGTATTTTCTGGCTCTCAGTTTTGCATCGCTTGGATAGAATGAAGCCGCATAGCCACACATAAATTCGGAAAGAAACTTTGCCATAATAATTGCCGGGTGCCTGGTTTCTGATAGTTCCTTGCATTGATCTAGACCGTATTCATACTCGTTTCCCTGATAATTTTGCTATGCATTTCACCAGGTTTGTGGCTACGGAGCTACAGAGCGACCTGGTGGTACAAGTAGATGATCTTAAATTTCATCTTCACAAGGTAAGCAGTAAAGAAAGAAAGCCGAGAATTGTGAGCTTACTTGTTGTTTTTGTAGTTTCCTCTTCTGTCCCGGAGCGGTCGTCTGAACCGGCTAGTGTTTGAGTCCCGAGACACTGAAAAGGACCATATTGATCTTACTGGGATACCAGGAGGCCCGGACTCTTTTGAACTTGCGGCCAAGTTCTGCTATGGAATGGCGATTGACCTCACGGCAGCCAATGTAGCAGGACTGAGATGCGCCGCAGAGTACCTGGAAATGACTGAAGACCTTGAGGAGGGGAATCTTATCTCGAAAACCGAGGCGTTTCTGAGCTTTATGGTACTGGGGTCGTGGAAGGATTCTCTTACAGTGCTCAAGTGCTGCGAAAAACTTTCACCTTGGAGTGAAAACCTCCAGCTGGTCCGCCGCTGCAGTGAATCAATTGCGTGGAAGGCCTGCACAGATACGAGAGGCATCAACTGGTCCACCATCGGAAAGGAGTCCTCGAGCAGGAAGAGCGACAGTCCAGAGTCGAACGAGATGAGAAGCTCGGAGGATTCCAAGAGTGTTCCGGCGGACTGGTGGTTTGAGGACCTGCTGACGCTCTCAGTCGACCATTTTCTCAAGGTGATCGCTGCTATCAAGGTGAAAGGCATGAGGTCCGATTTACTTGGAGCCGTGGTTACGTCTTACGTGCTAAAGTGGGTGCCGGGGTTGTCGAGAGACACTGGCTATTTCAACGCCGAGAACAACATACACATGACAGCCTCCACAGGACAGGACGATTTTACAGTGCTCCAGAACAAGACTCAGAAGCTGCTCGAGAACATCGTGGGAATTCTTCCGCTCCAGCAAGACACGGTCTCGTGTAGCTTTTTGCTCCGGCTGCTCCGGATCGCAAACATGCACGGGACGAGCACCGCGTGCCGGGCGGAGCTGGAGAAGCGTGTTGGCATGCAACTGGAGAACGCCTCTCTCGCCGACTTGCTCGTCCCGTCCTTCCTCCACACTTGCGAGACACTCTACGACGTGGATCTCATGCAAAGGCTGCTGCAGTACTTTTTGCTCCAAGAGCAAGTAACTCAGGCCAGCCCTTCGACTCTGGAGCAGCAGCTGGGCTTCGATGGAGCCATGAGAAGTGCCAAAGTTAAAGTGGCAAAGCTACTTGACGGCTACCTCTCAGAAGTGGCACGAGATCAGAACCTCCCTCTGGCAAAGTTCCAGGCGCTCGTGGAAGCTTTTCCAGATTCAGTCCGCACTAGTGACGATGGACTGTACAAGGCGATCGACACTTACCTCAAGGTTTTCTTTTTCACGAGTATTTTCGGTTTAACAACCAAACTTCTTCCTGTTTTTACAGGTTCATCCAGGCTTGACCGAACTCGAGCGCAAGCGACTCTGTCGCGGGATGGACTGCCAGAGGCTTTCGTCGGATGCGTGCTTGCACGCTTCACAAAACGAACGCCTCCCACTCAGAGTTGTGGTCCAGGTGCTGTTTAGCGAACAAGTGAAGCTTAAGAACGCTCTAAGCCCCGTGTTTGGGAAGGACATGGACGGGTGGGACAATCCGCAGCAGGGCGATGGCTTCCATCCTCTCGTCAGCGATAGCTGGGCACAGGAACTGAAGGCGGTGAAAGCCGATTTGGAGCAAGTGAAAGAGAAGCTTGCCGAGTTCCAAAGCGAGTACTCGCTCGTGAGGCAGCAGCTCCAGAAATTACTTGGGCCAAAGGAGAAAAACCAGCATTCGTCTTCGTCCTCTTCGTGGAGTATGGGGTGGAAGAAGCTGAGACGAGCCTCCAACTTGTTCCACAAGGACGGCATGGATGATCCAGAGCAGCGGCCAAGCTACGTCGTGCAAAAGGACGCCATTGACAACGTAGCCAAGCCTCGACTTCGTAGGAACTCCCTTTCGTAAAGAGACAACAACTTGTTTTTTCGAGGAAAAGAAGCACCTCATGGAAGCAATTAGCCAGCTATAAATTTTAAAACTTCAGGGAAACTGGAGTCGATCTTTTAAACTTAAAATGCAATATCATTTAATGGCTTTAAACTTCAGTGGCATTTAACGTTTTCAGATTATTCTTAAACACATTATTATTATAATGAAAAAAAAACCAATCAACCTGTCCTGAATGCTTAAGGATATGTATTTTGATAACCACACTACTTTAATATAAAGATAAATTTAAAAAAACATTATTAAAATTTATATAATATTAATTTTATAATCATTTTATAAAAATACAAACATAAATTGATCTCTAAAAAAAACTATTCAAAGACCAAATCACAATATTATAATTATAATATAATATTAAAATTTAATTAATTTGAATTTAAAAATTTAACATTTATTAAGTTTTCTAATCTATAAACCATTTTAGTTTATTTTTATATATATGAAACTTATATATAAATATAATAAAACCCTCTCATTTAGAGATTGTAAAGCTTTTAAGTAATAAAAAGGAAAGTTATGTTTTATAAAACATTAAAATTGCGAAATAAAATTTCTTCTAAAAGTTTTTTGCAATTAAAATTTTTAATAACATATTCAATTGCAATAATAATGAATTAAATATTACACACAAATTTTGTATAGTACAATTTGAACAAATTTTTAAATAAAATTTAATATTAACTCTAGATTCATATTTAATGAGTTATTGAATTTACACAAGATTCATCATTATGCATTCTAGATTTAATAAAAATATATTGTAATACATGAATTTTTTCATATTTTGAAGGTAGTTAACTATTTTAAAGATCTATTATTAATCATGAATTCCTCATCATTCAATATATTTATACCTATATATTTAAATACTAAACTTAATTAACAATAAATAAAATTAATTATTAATTAAAAATATCATTTAAAATAAAAACTACTTCTCTAAATTGTACAATAACTTAGCTAATTAAATCATAAATTTAACTATTTTAAATTATAAGCTAATTTCACTGATAAGTATTAGACTTAAAAGTTTTAAAAGATAATATACCAAAAAGTACAATAAAAGTTCTTATAAAATTTCTATTTTACTTTCAATTATTTACTTCCTTGATTAGAAATAATGTTATTTACAACATATATATATATATATATATATATATATGCAATCATGAAATTTATAAAAACTCATAAAACTAGGAAATAACACCATATAAGATATTTTTTAATATGATTTAATCCTATATATCAACCGGTATCATCATCACTCAAGTTGGTGCATGTCGCCTCTCTTTTAATTTGGTTATCAAATAATGGGAAAAAATCCCATAATAAATTACTTTCAAATATGTGTGAGTTTATAAGTAATTTGAGGAAATAAAATGAAAAATCATATTAAAAGTGCTAAAATTCCTATACAAAATAATTGACTTAAAAGTGTAAAAGTAGAGTATTTTAGTGGATGCAAACATTTGCCACATAATATAAAACCTCTTAAAGGGTTTGCCACGTGGCATACCACAAAAAAAATAGAAACAAAGGAAAGATGCTCAAATTAGCTATTGCACTTGTAAATAAATTCCTTTAAAAAATAAAAATTTATAGGTTTTCCATCTTTTTGTAAGATCTTTATTAATATTTTTCTGATAGAGTTTTAAGATGCAAATTTCATTATATTAATTACTCTCTCACTTAGCTAAAATTTCATAAGAAAATAAAAAAATGAATAGAATTATTAGCAAAACATTGCCAATAAAGGAAAATGGAAGAATCGTGATAAGCTAAAATGAAAAGAAGTTCAAAGATATTGATTAATCTAATGTTAAATT